TTAACAACAACAACAAAGCAAACCCACAAACAAACAAAAATCACAAATTGGGAAAATTAAATTTTAGAAATTAACTTAATACAAGGAAATAAACATTTATCATAGCAAATGTCATAGCATTTACATTTGACCAGGAAATGTGGGAGCTTTCCTCTACTTCATGCATATATTTTCCCCAGAGAGCCTTTTATTCTGATCAGTGGGGCATCTTTCTCTCGTATTTTATATGTTCATCACATAAAGCATAATAATACTGGGTTCCCATCTTCGAAGAGCTCAGAATAAAATGGGATAAAGATAGGATATAACTATAAAGCAGGTTCTATGTGACATGAGGACAAGTCCAGACACAGGTGCACTAGAGTAGGGCATCTGGAGAGTTGTTAAGTTTGCATTAGAGAAAGGAGTAGGAAAACATGTGTCAGGTGAGTCAAGGAAATAAAACCACAAGGCAGGTCAGTTTCAGGGAGTAGAATGAACTGGCTGGCTGGCAAAAAGCAGTTATTATGAATAGAAAAGGAGAAAAATTATGAAAAGAATTTAATTCCAAGATAAGGACTTTGCAGTAATACTTCATTACCAAGACTATTTCATACTAGTCATTAGGCAGAGGCGTCATTTTTTAAATTTATTTATTATACATTCTCATAATAGCATTACAAATTAGTTATCCCTTACAACACCCCTCCCCCCTGTAGATTGCTAACATAATCTGCCTTAATCACCATTATAGCTCTAGGAACTAGAATAGGATTCCAGTGCTCAAAGCATATAGGCTGACTTAACCAAAAGTTACTTGCCTACAGCACCAAACTGACAGACGCAGAGCCTTTAGTTCTAACTCAAGTCTGTCCACCTTCAAGACCCTTTTCTAAAATCTATCAAAGGCCTTTAAACAGGACAGTGCACAATGTAATATTAGATTGAAAAAGGGACCAAATTGAGGCAAAGACAGTGTTTAAAACCTTAAGGGTTAGCACTGGAAAGAGAAGCAAAGGAAACATAAAGGGGTACAAGTGAGAGGCTACGAAGAAATAAAAGTGACATTCTGTCTAGGGATTGATTACATTGTAGGAAATAAAGCAAAGTATGTTTAAAATGTTAACATCAGGGCAGGACAACAAATACAGTGTAATTAGCAAAATAAGAGAATTACTTGGCTACTGTCAGTTATTTTTCAAACAATTTTTTTTTTCCTTACCCGGATGTCTTTTGGATGTTCCCCTTCAGCTATCCTAACCATCCAAAGAAACTTGTTGATATCATCACCAGAGTAACCAATAACGCCTCCAAAAATAACTAAAACATAATCTACATCCAGAGTCCTCATAATTTTATAGGCTGCTGTTTCATTCGAAGACATAGCTTTTCCCACCTACAGAATTTAAAAAAGAAAAAGAAAATGAGAATGTGTGCACTAAAATCAAGAATGTGCTAACAATAAATACAAATATATACATTTTAAGCATAAGATGAATGTTTCTCAGCAATTTGATTTATAAGGAATTTGTTTTGTAGCTATGATTTCCCATAAAGTAAATTTACTAGACTTGAGAATATCTCATCTACAGTAACCAATTAACAGCAGACATGTCAAAATCAAAGTACATGTTCTAGTGTTTTGAAAGTAATTAAATTTCATGAAATTAACATTTAAAAATGAAAGCAGGAGGTCTTACAGGAAACAAAATTTCTCATGACCTCATGCCAAGACTGGTTAGTAACCTTTCTATCCCCAGTCTCATTGATGGTAAGCTAGCTACAACAAAGGGATTCATTTGGTTAGGTAGGTTTATCCAAATTCATTTATGGAAATGTAATTAATTTATGCATATTTGTTATTTAATAGAGTGAATAGAATTTGCCTACCTATAAAATACAGCAGATTTGCTCTACAGACCTGGAAATAATTTGCCAAATTTATTAACTGGATACAAGTCAAACATAGACAACTATTTAAAAAGTTTCAAATTTTGCCCAATTTTCCAATGAACTAAATATAATCACAAAATCTGCCAGATATTAACCTACAATCATGGAGGACACTTGAAGTCATGAAGTCAGTGAACACCATCGCTCACTTAATTAAATACATAGGTAAAGGAATATTTTGAGAATTCAGCAAGCTAAGAATACTTTCATAGCATTGTTCCTTAATCATAAGTGAAGCCTGACTGCTATAAGAATTTGGTATGTTTGATTTTTTGTTTTTCAAACTCTTACCAGTGCAATGTGGCTGTTATTCCATGTGTTATTGTCCACCAAAGTAGTTCTATTAGCCATTCCAGCTATCTGATAGCCATAATCCCACCAAGACATCACGCGGGCATGTTCATCCGTATTTTGCCTTAGCCAAAAGTAAGCTTCTCTAAAATCATCTAAAATATTTCTTGTGCTGAAAAGAATCACAATATTTTGTTAAATGAGGTCTTATAAATGTAAAGAGGATAATTTAATGTCTTGAGGTACTAACTATTAAATAATTTCGTATTTTAAGGACGGTGGTGGTCAAAGGCCTCAACTAATAGAACGAATAAACAATAAGTACTAACTAGACTAGCGCTTCTCAAATGTTCATGTGTATACAAACAATCTGAGCATGTTGGAAAAAAGCTGTTTTGTGAACCCATAGTTAGGGTGGGGGCTGATATTCTGCATGTCTAATAAGCACCCAAGTAAAACAGAATATGTAAATTAAGTTCTTAAATTTCAGCTGTATCAGATCATCTAGAGGGCTTATTAAAATTGTCCAATGATTTAGCAGATTTGGGGTGGGATTAAGAATGTGCATTTCTAAAAGGCTTCCTGGTAATGCAGAGTCCAAGGACCATGTTTTGATTTGTAGGGATATTCTAGAAGAAAGCATGAAATAATAATCATTAGTACAGGGTCGCTATGGGTCGGAACCGACTCGATGGCACATAACAACAAGACCCCAAAAAGGGGGTGGGAACCAAAAAATTAAAAAGGCAGATTCTAAGAAGTTTTTATAGCCAAGATATTTTCTTACCCATCATGATTATAAGAGGCTAGTACCACACTTGGACTGGAATAGGCATTGCTTGTGACCCAAGTACAATGGACTGCAAACATCATCAATAGCATCAGCATCAACATGGTGACAATGCTTTTTATATTAGGACCTAATCCTTCTTCAGTTTTTTCCTGTTCAGTTACATGTTTCCTCACTTTACCTGCCTAAAGATACAAAATAACTGGTTAGAGAATTTGATCACTGGACTTATTTCAATAACACAATTATTAGGAGAATATTATTAGTTTAATGCTAAGACTGAGAGATATTCTAGGTAGGTGACACAGCATTTTCTAAAAATCATCAACAAAGACTCTAAAGTCAAACGAGACAACTTCGTTGGGGGACCATATGAGGAAGCTTCAAAAGTTTGTGGAAAAAACATGAAATTTTTGGACAAACTCTTTGAAATCTCCTTGTATGCCTAGAACAGGCATTAACCATAGAATAAATAGTATCTCTAGAAAAACACTGCTTCTAAGTCTAGTAGCCTACCAATTTATTTAAATTAAAAGGGAGACAACGAAACGGCTCTATTCTGGCTTATAAAAATTCTAATTCAGCAATATTTGCCACTTGAAAATGGCAATGTCCAGCAATAGTCCAGAAACTTGGAGGACTTTTGTATAGGCAAAGATAAAACAATTGCAAAACAGTTAATTTCATCAAAGGCAAGCACTTTAACTTTTGTCATTTATACATTTGCACCAAATATAATCCTGCTTTGTTACATGAGAAACTAAGTTCAAGTGGAATTACATTATATGCACCAGTGATCTATTGCTATCCAAATGGACATTTTTAAGTCACTTTATGTCTTTAATTTTATCATCCAATCAACCAACATTTTCAAACATCTTTCAAAATAGCATTAAAAAAAAAATACTATATTGAGCATCTAACTGATAAGAAGAGAGGGCATAAGCATTAAGAATAGCCACACTTGGAGATACTACCCACTTGACGGGGCTTCAATGACTGGATGATCAGAGCTCAACTAAAAAAACAAAGAAGAGGGAAAAAAGAGTAATCTGATACAATTTGATGAACGTGACCTACACCTATGGATGCAGTAGCTCAAAAGAAGGAACTAATCTTTATATCAAGGATGATTCCCACCTTTTCCATACACAGAGTAGAACAGGGATGGGAAACTTGGGCACTGACTAACCAAAATGGAGGGGTGGGGGGGGGCCGCCTACAAAGTCAAGAAGTGACTGGCTTACAAGCTTTCAAGAGGGAGCCTAGATCCAGAGGGTACGGAGGAAGGAAAAGTTTCCACTGAGTAGTATCCAATCTGACTGGGTGGGGCTGATGAATGGAGATGGATAATTGTTATCAGGCCTGACTGTGAAGGATGGAAATGTAAAAGTAGACGTTCTGTAGGAAAAGGAGGAGACTGATTGACTTTACAGTCCAGGAGCAGAGGATCACCAAGGGCGAAGAGTGGAGTGCGGGACCCTACCCAGAGAAACAGTGTTGCCAGAGATGGAGGCAGAGACGACGTGGAGAGATGGTGCGGCTGAGGACTCTAGACCCAGAGACAGAGAGGGGCTGTGTACTGACAACTGGGGGGCAGGCTTGCAGGGTATACCCTTTGTTTGGTTGATGCTGCATGGAGGGGATTGTATCCAGGGCAATGAAACGATATACGATAGAATGAATGTAAAGCTAATGTTCTTCCATGTAAACTATCACAAAATTCACAATAAAACATTAAAAACAATAATAACGACAGCAAACAAACTATATTGTATACAAACCTCAAGCGATAAACCCTTGTACACATGGTTTATATCGCCATTTTTTATGTTATTTAGTAGAGAACTAGGTTTTTACTCTAAAAACTGGAAGAGTATTAATAAGCCTCAAGTATTTAGGAGACACCTCACCACAAAAAAATAATGATTTCTTCTCTGATTACATACTGTTTTTGTACTCTGAGAGAAATGACACATCAATATTCAAAATTTGAAACAAACAGTAGAGACCACAACCAAAGAAGACACAGCTTGTCTAAATCCTCGTTCAATTACATTTCTTAACACGTTTCGTTCTTGCTGTGTAGAAGGATAAAAAAAAAAGCACATAATATTTTCAAAGGCCTTACTTTAGATTCCCCACCTTATCATACAAATTTCCTGGATTTCTTTTGTCATCCTCATCACTGCTATCCTCCACAGGTGGGTTTTCCCTTTTCATGTCATCCCCCAGATAGTGCTCAAAAACATTTGAGAAGGCAATTGCAGACAGCATACAGACGACTGGAGTCAAAGTCAACATCAGACGCACCATCACCCCAGCAAAGTAGACAGCACTGATGGCATACAGAGCAACTGCAAAGACAAGTTCTCTTGTAAGACTTAGGGAAAAAGTGTTCACAGGACACTAAACGAGAGCGTTAATGCCACATAAAGTACACTGAAAAATAGAAAAATGTTTCACAAAGATCTAACTGCTTTAAAATTGATAATATCTTTGCATGTGATTAATAGTTACACTCAGAAATAACTAGTGTGACTACATAAAAACTACATGTCAACAACAGTTTATAGAAATGTTATCAAGACTGAAATATAATTATAGTTCTTCAAGGAAAAACAAATTTCATTCATTATCTGTCAATATAAAAAAAAATCCACACTTAACAGACGAAAACAGTTAAGTTTTTACAAATCCAAACAGGAAAACACAGTACCAAAATCTAGCACAAATCCTACTTTAAGAACTTGTAAAATTACTCACAAAAGGCTTTTTTTTAAAAAAAAAAAAAAAAAAGGAAGCAAATATCTAATAAACACAACTTTCTGTGTATGTGCTAACCACAGATAAAGACTCTTGACATTTCTGGACAAAGACTTACTATCGTAAGGTATTTTTTAAAAATTGTATTTCTGAAACACAGAATGTATTTATGATACCACAGGGAAGTATACAGTTTAACCTGTTGTTAAGTGTCATCAAGTCACTTCTGACTCACAGTGACCCTGTGTAGGATCTAACTCACAGTGACCCTGTGTAGGATCTATACATGTGCAAACTTATTAAATTACCACTAACATCAAAATACAGAACATTTTTATTGTTAACCAGAAGGATTTTTCGTCTCTTCCTAATCAATAACTTACCCTCTACCCCATAAAAAAGTTAATCAACCATTATTTAGTCTTCTACTGCGCTTATTGTTGTTACATTCTAACTCATAAAAACTATGCATAGAGTTTCTAAGGAGTGGCTGGTGGGTTTGAACTGCTGACCTAGACGTTAACAGTCAAGTACTTATCCTGCAGTGCTACACCAGGATTCTAGTCTTCTGCTACCATAATTTAATTTTCTTATACTTAAATTTCATGGTAATAAAATCATATAAAAATGTTCTACTTTATATGGGCTTCTTTTATTTACCCAAGCTGCTCTTTTATTAAGTGCTATATTGTATTCCACTGTATAAACATATCAAAATTTATTTTTTATGACACTGTTGTTGTTATGTGCTGTGGAGTCCGTTCTGACTCATAGCGACCCTGTACAGGGTTTCCGAGGCTTGGTAGTTTCGAAGTGCTGATGACTGATGCTATTTGTTGTTGTTGTTAGGTGCCTTCGAGTTGGTACCGACTCATAGCGATCCTGAGCCAACCTCAGTACTGTTACCACGCTTGAATCCATGGCATTAACTGAGCTTCCCTGTAGGCTCATGGATATTATCCTATCACAGACATTGTTGTACCTCATGACTGATCTGAATATGTTCTTTTTGACGATGAATGCAACTCCATTCCTCTTCAATTTGTCATTCCCAGCATAGTAAAACATGTGGTTGTCAGATTCCAAATGGCCAATACCAGTCCATTTCAGCTCACTAATCCCTAAGATATCGATGTTTATGCGTTCCATTTCATTTTTGACAACTTCCAATTTTCCCGATTTATACTTCATACATTCCATGTTCTGATTTTCAGTGGATATTTACAGTTGTTTCTCTTCATTTTGAGTTGTTTCCAGGCAGCAAATGAAGGTCCCATGGGCTTTTCTCCCACTACCTTTACTCCATTCGCGTTATTACAGTCAACTCTACTTTGAGGAGGCAGCTCTTTCCCAGGAGCATTTTGAGTGCTTTCCAGCTTGAGGGGTTCATTTTCTGGCACTGTATCTGACAGTGTTTCTCTGCTATTCATAAGGTTTTCAGTGACTAAATATTCAGAAGTAGTTTGTCACTCTTACTTCCTAGTCTGTCTTTGTCTGGAAGCTCATCTGAAACCTGTCCACCATGGGTGACCCTGCTAGTATTTAAAATACCCATGGCATAGCTTTCAGAATCACAGCAACTCCAAGCCACCACAGCAAGACAAATTGACAGACGAATGGTGGCTGTTTCGTTTTAAGTGGAAACTGTCACTTTAAATTTCGAGGCGATCTGTGCACATGCATAATAGAAGCCTCCAGGGGTCTGGTGGGGTGTCCATTCGCTCAGGCATCTCCTCTGGTCACCAGAATGGAGGTGCGCAGACCACAAGAGCCCAATGAACAGATACCAAAACAACAATGTCCACACCTCTGTATGTCCACGGTTCTGTCAGGCGTTCGTGGCTGTTTTGATCCTTCCCTCACTTGGTCTCTCAAGATGGCGGTTCCGGGAGAAGCTTAGTGTCTTGAATTAGAAAACAATGGATTTCTTGATTCTGCTACAAATCCCCCTGGCTGGAAGCCTTCCAAGCTTCTAAATATTCCTTTATATGTGGTTCAGAGTTCTAGCACCATCCCCTGAGCCTGCTTGGTCCGGTATCCTGTGTTGTTGGTGACCGAACTCCTCACTGCCTGTCTATCCCATCCGCCATCTTAGAAAAGTAGTCCTGATGACATTAGGAACATTCTAATTGGGGGCTATTACGAATAAAGATGCCATGGGCATTCTTAAATACATTCTTTGGTGGTTATGTGCACTGTCTTTATCTCAGAGTAAAACTGCTTGGTTATGAAGTAGGCGTAAGTTTACATTAAATCTTTTAAAACAATGCATTATCAACATGGTTAGATATAAAGGCCATTTTTGGTGCCATAGGATAAGCACTCAACCTCAAGGTTGGTTTGTACTGTAAGGTCAGCGGTTCAAACTCACTAGGTACCTCTTTGGAAATCCCTTACAGGGTCACTATGAGTCGGAACAAACTTAACAGCACTCTACAACAACAATTGAGATACACTAACAAAGAATGAGTGTTTCTACCTTTTAGTCAAAACTCAAGCAAGTGCTCTCCTTATCTGACTTCCTTCTAGAATAGTAAAACTCTTATTACCAATAAAGTAATGTCACTCATGATCCCAAGGCCCAATACTAGCTGTTCAAGTTGTGGTTCTACCACTTATAGGCTTGTCTGATGCTGTCCACATTATTAAGCTTTATCACACGTATAATAGTCACTGCATATTTCTTAGCATGATTAAATCATTTCGAGTCTTTGGTGTCTAGTCATTTTGTCCATTTTTAATTTGAATGTCAAAACCAAAGACCTGGCTTTTAAATAAAACATTATGTATTTAAAATCTCATTTGAAATATATAAAAATCTATCAATGAAGATGATACTTAATTAAAGGTAATTCTTACAGAGTGGAACTTTTATGTAATGTTATTTACCCTGAAACTTGGATGATAGTTTGGATACCTTGCAAACTTCTTCCTACCTAAATCAAGAGTAATTTGGAAAATGAAGATTATATTGTCAATAATGCTGTAATTCCTAATTTTCACACTCAGGCTATAATAGCATTAACAAGTCAGAAACTACAATAAATGAAACGAGAGAAAATTTACCTTAATATATATTTAGTCAAACAAAGTAAAGCAAAACACTACAGTGAATTAATAATATAAATATGGAACATCAACAGTGCTTTCAAATCTTTTTAAGTTTTTCTTACCAAATACTCTTTCATCATTGATATTTTTGATGCAGAACCATAGGCCCGCTGGGAATGTACAAACAAGAATATGTAGATCAAAGAAGAAAGACACCCATGTTGTAGGTTGATGTTCAGACACTGATGCAATAATTGGAATGTGTATTTTTGCATACCTGGCAATAAAAAAATCAGTATTATTTCAAATGATAAAATAGGAGTGCTAACAAAATTAGAAAGTTATAATTCTCCATTCCTTCTCGCTTTCTACATGTATATTCCAACATAACCAGGTATTACTGGAAATAAATCTCTTTGGTCTGCACTGGTAAAAGTGAAACTATGATGTCCTCTATAAAATCAGGAGAACAATCTTCAGTCAATTATAAAATTCCTAGCTCTGACTTCTAAAAAGAATACCAAAGAAAACTTTGTTCTGCAGTTTATTCTAAATTCAGCACCTCGCAAGTTTCATCAAGCTTCACTACTTTTCCGGCAGAAATACCTAACCCAGTAAGATACCATACTGACGCAATTATTTGTTTGGTAAGGAGACAGTATGGAAGTAGGTTACGAAATAAAATGGATCAGACATATTATTTCTGAGATACCCTGTAATTCCAATTTAGTTAATAAAAAGTTTGGAAAGCAAGAATAAGTATGACTTAATAATCTAACATCATCAGAATAAATGTCTACAAATGGGATTATACTCAACCTTTAGTGATCTCTGGGGTTGCTCTCTCAAAGTGTGTAACTTAATTTTATCTGGTCACAGGCACTTTTGATATAGCATTCAAAAGGTGGTTGTTAAAAAAAAAAAAAAAGGTGGTTGTTAGGTGCAGTCGAGTCAATTTAGACTCAAAGTGATCTCATGTGACAGAGAAGAACTGCCCGACAGAGTTTTCTATGATATCTTTACAGGAGCAGACTGCCTTGGAGCCACTGGGTAGGTTTGAATTGCCAACCTTTTAGTTAGCAGTTGTGTATGTAACCACTGCATCACCAGGATTTCCTTATTTAAAAAAAAAAATAACAACAACAAAAAACAACAACCCATAAACCGATTGCTACTGAATTGATTCCAAACCCTTGAGACCCAAGAGGACAGAGGAGAGCTCCCATAGGGTTTCCAAAGATGTCAATCTTTATGGAAGCAGACTACCACACCTTTCTCCCTTAGAGCTTTAGGTGGGCTACTAGTTGACTGCTATAACCTCTGCACCACCAAGTCTCCATCCTTTATGAAAAGGTACAGTAAAATAAATTGTGGTAGGTTTTATTATTGGGCCGCTTAGGGAGTCCTGGTATGACACTCTGGGTATATGTGATGGATTGCAAGGTCAGTTGAATTTCAAGGTCAGCATTTCAAGCTCACCAGTCGGTCCTTGGAAACTCTATACAGGTCACTATGATAGGAATCAACTGGAAGACACTTAACAAGTGAGTAACAGAGAACAAAAAAAACAGGAATAAGGGAGAGAAGTAATTCATCTTCAGATACTCTCTTATCCTAGGGAAAACATTTCAGATGCAAAAAGAATTTTCCTCAATAATCAAATTCAAAATCAAATCCCATTTATTATTGTTTTAAAGTGCTGTCTGGTTGGTTCTGACTCATAGTGACCCTGTTTAGGGTTTCCAAAGGGGGCTGAAGGCTTCGATCTGCCAACCTTGTGGCAAACAGTCTAGTGCTTATCCTATAGCGCCATACCAGACTCCATTTATTATTCTAAATATTATTCATTATACATTGTTGTTAAGTGCTGTCAAGTCAGTTCTGACTCATAGTGATTCTGCATAGGGATTCCGAGGAGCAGCTAGTGATAAAAAGCCAAACCTGGGCTCTAGCACTCTATAAAACAACAAGTACTGTAAGACACAACAAATACCCTCTAATTTAACAGACGAAAACAGCTAATAAAATTTAGATCTTGTGGTATTAGAAAAGATATTGAACTTTCTTCATATCTATGGTATAAGTATTTATAACGTACAACTTATATTTAACAACTAAAAGCTGCCCATCATAAGGTGAGCAGTTCAAAACCAGCAGCTGTACTACAAAAAAAGATGTGAGTTTGCTTCTGTAAAGATTTAGTGTTGAAAACCCTGTACAGGGTCGCTATGAGCTGGAATCAATTTTATAGCAGGGGTTTAAAAAACTTTGAATAGATGAGAAAAAAACAAAAATTATCTATTAAAACAGAAAATATTACCTGGATGTTCTGACAAACAAAAGTAAAAAAAGATGTTGCCCCGAATGAAACAGATATGGATGACTTAAGTGTTATACAAAAAGTGCATTCAAACAAGCGTTCTTGTTGTCATTATTGTTTAAGTGTCAAGTAGATTCCAACCCATAGTGACCCTGTACAGGGTTTCCAAGACACAGGTAGTGGATTTATACTTCCAACTTTAGGGATAACAGTCAAGTACTTATCCTACAGCACTATACCAGGTATTACTACTAGGGGGAAAAAAAAAAATCAAAAGAAATTAACAATGACTAAACTAGAATATGCAAAGTAATTTTAGAAATGTTGCCCAAGCAGCGGTTAAGATACTGGCCATATAAGAAGCGATAAAGGGTATCTTAATAAACAAGTAGTTCCCAATTTACAATGTATTTAAGTTACAAGAAATCTGAAGGTTGCTGTCCCTGTCCACCCACCTCCATTTTATCATTAGCAGTAGGTACTACATACAGTACTGGAGCGTGTAATTGGCTGAAGTACTGCATTACGCAACTAATCTGCAAAAGATCTCTTAAATTGTTAAAGAAGAAGCCACTTTGAGTAGTAAACTGTGCCTCATCCAAGCCATGCTATCTTTAACCGCCTCATATACATCTGAAAATTGGAAATTAGTAAGGAAGACTTTATGTATTTCAGTTATAATGTGAGCAAAGAATACGGAAAGTACCATGACTGCTAGAATAAGAAACAAATTTGTCTTAAAAGAAGTACAGCCAGAATGCTCCTTAGAAGCAAGGATAGTGAGACTTGGTCTCTCATACTTAGAGCACATTATTAGGAGAGATCACTTACTTGACAAGGACATCATAACAGGAAAAATGAAACATTAGCAAAAAAAAAAAAGGAAGACCCTTGATGGGGTGGACTGACAGAGTGGCAACAACAACGAGCTCAAACATAAAAAGGATAGTGCTGTTCTGTTGTTCACAGTCATTATCAGTCAGGATTGACTGGATGGCAAGTAAAAACAACAAAGAAATTTGCTGATGTTATCATTTCTCAAGTGTTCACTTGCAGTTGTCCAAAGACGAAGAATGGATTTATAAAGACAATGATAATATAAAGGGCAATAATAATAAAAATGTGGGGTAAGGGAAAAAAAAAAAGAGGCATTTGATTTGAGGCCAGAACCGATTTATGGAGTTGCTGGAACAGAACCATCATAACTTGGGGACTATTTGTAATAAGTGGGCAAATAATGTATTTACACTTACCCAGTGTCCCACAGTGAATAAAACCTGCCACTCCACGGTGCAATGTAACCTTGAAAGGAAAAATATAGAGGAAATGAATCTTTCCTTAAAAAGTTTTACTACAGATGAGTTTAAACTAAAATTCAAGTAATTACAGATTTTCTTTTGCATATATCAACATATTTCTGACAGCTGAAAGTCTGATAAAATAAGGTTAATGATCAAATAAAAATAAATATCCACAGTGAAGGCACTTCCAGAAAAAACCAAACACACTGCCATCAAGTTGACTCCAACTCACAGTAATCCTATAAGGACAAAGCAGAAATGTCTCCATTTTTCTCCCACAGAGGTTAGCGGTTCAAACTGTAAACCTTTTGGTTAGGCAACACAGGCTTTAACCACGTCAGCACCAGGACTCCTTGGTAGTTACAAAGGTAATTTTAAACATTCATGTCTTTTACTCCTGTCAATTAGTCCCTCAAGATTTTATGAACTAGGATGGTACATTAATTTGACAGATGGAATATGTTTAGAAAAATTTGCCTTGTTTCCAGGAACAGGATTAGAAAGTAATTTAGAATTTAGAAGCAAACTGAAACTCACTTGGTTGACTGTTTATATATTTCTATGCTATTACATAATTAGAAATTTCAACTACACATACAACAACCATTACATTTCTTAAAAAGAAACTCTATGAAATTAGTATACAGATTCCAGATCAACTGCTTTATAAGCCTTCTACCAAAGTAACAGAGAATGTGCAGACCAGGGAAGGTACACAAGAAATAGGTTAATCTGTAGCTTTGAATTTTATAGTTCAGGTCTCTTATTCAGCAAGAGAAGTAAGCTTGAAAGTAGATTTATCAGAGCATGAAGCAGTACAATTATGTAACTGTACAATCTTCGTAAATTCCATTACTAGCTATAAATTTAAATAAAATAAAAAGTCCTTTTTTTGTTTGGTGATTTGACAAAACCTTGACATTAACAGGTCAGTTTAAACATGACAAAATATATTATAATACTGAGAAGTTACATAATGTTGTGGGATTATATAGAAAACATTTACTGAAACTTGGGACCTAAATTAAAAAACAGTCTTCAAAGTTGAATGTTGACTGGGTAGATCATAAGAATTCCAGAGTGCTCATGAGAATTCCACAGATTGAAAGAATCCAGAGTTATGTGGAAAAATTGCAAAAGAAGACAAAACCCAGAAACATGACAAGTCAGAATCTAGTTCTTTTCTTTGTCTTCCAAAGAAGAATTTGTTTACACTATAAAGATAACTTTTCTCTCCTTCTTTCATTAACAGAAATGGGCAATGTATAGATAAGCTCCCAGATTGTATTTTCAGGATTCCTCTCCTACAGTGTAAACTCCTTTGATCAAGCTTATAAATTTGGTTCCCACTGCATTATCTGAGAAGACAGAAAGATTGGGACAGGGGGAACCTGTGTAATTATTGTTGTAAGAAATAGTAACATCATAAACGTCCCCAGAAATTTTGTTTACTTTTAGGAAAACATGAATAAACATGAATATAAAAAAACGCATGAAATGTATTTTACGAAAGATAATAATTATATATTCTAAAGAGTTTGCTATTTATAATTAATAATACTGTTCAGATTTTAGAATCGTTGGCTAATTTTCTTTGTTACTGGACTTCAAAGTCAGTTTGAACTACAAGGTAACTGGTTTAAACTCACCAGCTGCTCCTTGGAAACCAATAAAAAATGCAATCAGTTATTTGACATACTAGTATAAATGGAACCTGCAGATTTTTGCAAAAGAATAACCTCTTTAGAATAACAGTACAAAGACAAGATTCGCATCCTACAGGTAGTGAACACCTACCTGTGTAAGTTAAATAGATGACACTAAGGAACACAGCACCTGCTGCTAATGATACACCCAAAAAGAAAAGGGTCTGGAACTCTTGTTTTGTTAATCGGTCTCTCAAATACTGCAAGAAAGCATAAGCTTGCAACAGTGCAAAGACACCTAATTAAAGAAAAGAGTCACATAAATAAACCAAGGTTATTTATAAATGCTTATTAGAATACTCTCTCCAATTCATATAAAACACTAATCAATTTATCTGGTCAAAATTTCCTTTATCAAATGACAGCTAACCAATTAAATATATTTTTAAAATATGGTTACACGCTCCTTCCCCTTGCCTCCCCGCACTCAGTTATAGTCTCAATACATGCAACACCAAGCCAAAACAATACTCACTATGTTCAAGTTGATACAGACTCATAATTATCCTATAAAACAGAGAACTGCCTCATAGAGTTTCTGGGGTGTAACCTTTACAGAAACAGTGGGTTAAAACTTGCTACCTTTTGGTAAGCAGTCTAGCACTTTAACGATTATCACCAGGGTTCCTACCATGGACCATAAGGTAAAAAAAAAACAAAAACCATTAAAATGCCCCAATCCTCCACTATCCTCTACTTATAGCCTTTTTGAATTCTCCCTTAACTCATATTTTAGTAACATGTTTAATAATGGGGGAAAAGTAATAAAGACATTGTAAGAAAAAAATCCTAGGATTTGGTTTGCCAAAGGATGAAAGTGATTTGACTGGAAAATTCTGATACACGTGGCACTGTAGTTTAAGCACTGTACTGCTAAACGCAAGGTCAGTGGTTCAAACCCACCAGTGGCTCATGGGAAACCCTATAAAGAGCCACTATATTGATGGCACTTAATAACAAGCACTACATATGGTAGAGTAATAAGATGTGACCTTAATCACAAAATTAGGTAAAATTCTAAATTAGCACAAGAGTATATGTTAAGATATACAAAATTAAAGTAGTAATAGGGCAAAGTATGTAATTGCCAAAATGCAAAAAACATGATAAAAAGCAGGAGAGGTATAACTTTAAAGAAGGACACCCTAACTCATTTGGAAAGATGATCTAAATTTATTTTTTCCCTAAATAAATTTCATTTCAAAATGCTTAAAAAATATTTAAAAATCTAGATTTCATGAAATATAATAAAGTAAAAGTCAGGTGATTATGAGTCAAGTAAACACTGCTTTACATTTGTTCTACATGATTGCATATTCAAAATTACAAATGAATTTATCTATGTTTCAAATCAACACCTGGGAAACTGATAAATAACAGCAAATCAGAAATGAAAATATTTCATCGATTTTTAAATTCTACACATCAGTAAAGAAAAGTTCTTTATTTTTTGGAGCAGCTTAATACAAGAATAAAACTTATGGAACTTCATGCATAAAGTTACATATATACCTATACTTACAATATTAAAAAAGAAGCTCTGGTAGCGTAGTGGTTATCAATCAGGCTGTGACCCTCAAGGTCAGCAATTCGAAACTACCAGATGTTTCGCGGGACAAATATGAGGTTCTTTGCTCCCGTAAAGATATGCAGTCTTGGAAACCCTGTACAGGGTCGCTATGGGTCCGAACCAACTCCATAGCACATTAGCAACATAATATTAAAATGTCACAAATAAAGTAACTATCCACAGCCTTTTTTTGAGTCATGGAACTCAGGGTGAGAATCTGACAAAGTTTACTCACAGATCTCCCATTATATCTTGCTAATTGTGATTCAGATTACTAACAGCAAAGTACTATTTATGTTACGGTGGATAATTATTAAAAAAAGATTCTGTAATCAATATAAAAGCCAATAATTACACTTAGTAGCTAAGGTTAATTTTAGTGAGATGCAACAAACATAAAAATGAAACATTTCATCTAAATTTGCGGAATTGCAAGCTCAATGGTATAGTAAAGCAGACATGTGTTTTTGTTGTTGCTGTGTGCCATCGAATTGGTTCTGACACATAGCTACCCTGACCCTGTACAGGGTGGCTTCTGAGGAGCAGCTGGTAAGCTTGAATCACCAACCTTGCAGGTTCAAACCAACTATGCAGTCTAGCGTTATTAATACACAGCACCACACCAAGAGCAGACATATACTAAATTTTGGTTATACAAAACTAAAATTAGTGCTTGCAAATAACATGGATGAATTATGCGAAGAGAAGCTTTTACCTTTTTACAAACAGTTGTGACTGAATATACACACAATTTGTCACACAGAAATTCTGAATAAAATTTTATGATAGTCATAATTTAAAGTGGTGATGTTTTAAAATCAGCATGACAAAACCTGTTCATTCCCTGAGAAGATTGGCTAATCACACATTTAAATATTCTTTAGAAGAAGGAAAATTAACATTTTTTTCATACCTGCAGCTGCCATGTGTTCACTTGTTCTGATTGGTTGGAATCCCACAAAGGGTATCTGCATGGATAATATTAAACCCACAATGTAGAAAGTGCTATATGCTATAAAGACAAAACAGGGAAACAGAACAATTTACCATTACTATTTAATATTCAAAATATAAATGTATATAAGCATCTTATCTTTTTAACAGAAGTTATAACAAAATTTAAGTATATAACCTAGAAATATCTTCTATTTGATTCATGTATCTGATGGAAAATCCCACATTATATGAAAATTCTCAATTCAAAATATTTTATTTTGTAGAACATTGTTTGCGTCACTTCTCCAAATTGAATTATTTTAATTCACCATTAATAATCATTGGTATATGCCACATACACATGAAACAAATACCATTCTCATTTTTAACTCAAAATATGTATGTTAATAGATACTTATCATCAGAATATATGAGTAACTACTGTCTTAGAAAAAGCTCTCCAGTATTTTTTAAAAAAACAATCTCATTCTCTTTGCACAATACACTACTTATTGGTGGTAGTGGTGGTTGATGGCTGTCAAGTCAGTTCTGATTCACAGCAACCCTATATAGGGTTTCCCAGGTTATAAATCTTTACTGGAGCAGAAAGCCTCATCTTTCTCCGCAGAGCAGCTGGTGGATTCGAAACGCTGACCTAAAGGTTAGCAGCCCACAACATGTAACCCACTACTCTACCATAAATAAGAAATTTTAAACATCTATGTCCAGTTAAGTTTTTTGTGATTAAAGAAAAGGAGTGCATAGACATCAAGTCATAAAATAGCTCTGTTACTGGATTTAGATTCTAAAAAAAGGAAACCTGTTTGCTTTTGGCACTGAGTATAATATTCTCATTTATGTCCATCTAAATGTATACGCAAAATACAGAAGGGTTACATTTGTGTACTAAGAGTTTCTTGAATTGTTTTACTAATTCCTCATGGCTCACTATTAGGAAGTTGACTACAAAGTACGTTATTATTAGGAACCACAATGACAAATTAACTAGAAATTAAGATAAAGATTATAAACAAGTTAATGTGAAAATTATTCTACTTATGTTGTTGTTAAGTGCCTTCGAGTCGGTTCCGACCCATAGCGATCCTGTATAGGGTTTCCAGGGAGATGCTGGTGAGTTTGAAGCGTCAACCTTGCAGTTCAAATGGCTTTGCAGTCTGGCGCATTAGCCCACAGCACCACATAGAATAATATAAATAGTTGTTGACAAATAAGCAAATCTATTAAAAACAAAGCCAGCTGTGGTGTTGTGAGATAAGCACTGGACAGCAAATCACAAGATTCACAGTTGAAACCCACCAGCCACTCCTTGGAAACCCAACACAGGGTCGCTATGGGTGACAACAGACTATACGTCACTGAACAATAATAACACAGCATAATACTTCTCCCTTCACTCATCTTAGATACGAAAGAATGTTTATTTGCTTTTTAAAGAAACTAATTTATAGGAGGTAAATTATGAGTGATAACTTTAAATGTTAAACTGATTCCCAAGACAGTTGACAAGAGTTAACTGAAGATACTGTTTTGGTAAAGGATGGAAAGCACAAATAAATTTAACAGGAAAGACCAATGTTTTTGATTAAGTTACCAAAGAGCTCAAGCTAAGGTAGGCTAAGGCTACATAGGCGACTGCTATAATAATCCAAGTAATAATGTACTTTTATTAGGCACATTTGTGTTGGAATGGAACTACCTTCAATCAAGTAGGAGAATTCAAATGCAATTAAAGAAGTAAATAAGAATGATTATATCCATGTTGTTGTTACGTGCCGTCAAGTCGATTCCGACCCATAGCAACCTTGTGCAGGTTTTTCCAAGGCACAGGTGGTGAGCTGGAACCAACTACTTTGCATTTCAAACGACTTTGCAGTCTGACTCATTAGTCCACAGAGCCACACCAGAACTCCAGTTGTTATTGTTAAGTGCTATAGAGTCAGTTCCTGCCCATAGCCACCATGTACATAGGGTTTCCAAGGAGCGGCTGGTGAGTTTGAAGCGCAGACCTTACAGTTCAAACCGACTTTAAATCCAGAGCCACACCAAGACTCCAACAGGTACTTAGTCACACAATTTGTAATGCTAACTAATATGATTGATGGATCTCCTATTTTCAATATATTTTCTTAAAAATTAGTCTTATGTTACGGTTCTGATAAAGTAAAATCATACAGGCACAATCAGGAGAATAAAAAAAGAAACTAAGTCAGTATGTAACCTTGAACAAGTACTTAACAAAAGCTTTCATTTCCCCATAACACAATAAGGGTTTTGGATCAAAAAATTTAAAGATCTCTTGGCTAAGAATATAAGATCACTAGGCAATTTAGTATGGTGAAAGATACAACCCTGTCGCACACCTTTCTTAATTTTAAACCATTCCACGTTCCCATAACTGCCTCTTGATCCATGTACAGACAGATCCCTTATGAGCACAATTAAGTGTTCCGGAATACTCATACTTCGCAATGTTGTCCATAGCTTGTCATGTATGATCTACACAATCGAAAGCCTTTGCATAGTTGAAGCACAGGTAAACATCTTTCTGATATTCTCTGCTTTTCACCAAGATCCATCAGACATCAGCAATGATATCCCTCATTCCATGCCTCTTTTGAATCCGGCTTGAACCTCTGGAAGTTCTCTGTCAATGTATGATTGCAGCTGTTTCTGTATTACCTTTAAGTAAAACTTCACTTGCATGGGATATCAAATTATTGTCTAATGATTTCCACATTCCACTGGGTCACCTCTCTTTGGAATGGGCACAAATACGGATCTCTTCCAATCAGTTGGCCAGACACTTGACTTCCAAATTTCTTGGCATAAAGGCATGAGTGCCTTCTCTGCCACCTCACTTTCTTGAAATATTTCAATTTTTATTCCATCAATTCCTGGTGTCTTGATCTTTGCCAACTCCTTCAATGCACCTTGGGCTTCCTCCTTCAGTATCATTGGCTCTGATCATATGCTCTCTTGAAACGGCTGATATCAACCATTTCCTTTTGGTACAATGACTCTGTGTATTCCTTCCATCTTCTTTTGATTCTTTCTGCATCATTCAACAATTTGCCCAGAGAATCCTTCAATAATGAAAGTCAAGGCTTGCATTTTTTCTTCAGTTCCCCCAGCTTGAGAAATGCTGAGGCTGAGCATGTTCTTCCTTTTTGGTTTTCTGACTCCAGATCTTTGCACATATTTGACTTTATCTTCTTGAGCTGATCTTTGAAATTTTCTGTTCAGTTCTTGGACCTCCTCATTTCTTCCATTTGCTTTAGCATCTCTACGCTGGAAAGTAAGTTTCAGTGTCTCTTCTGACATCCATTTTGACCTTTTCCTTTTCTATTGTCTTCTTCAACCTGTATGCTGAGCAAACAATCCAAGAAGCTGGGTTATATGAAGAAAAACATGGCATCAGGATTGGAGGAAGACTCATAACAACCTGCAATATGCAGACAATACAACCTTACTTGCTGAAAGTGAAGTGGACTTAAAATATTTACTGATGAATATCAAAGACCACAGCCTTTGGTATGGATTGCAACTCAATGTAAAGAAAACAAAAATTCTCATCACTGGACCAATAAACAATAAACTTTGTCTCTTACATTGTTGTTGTTAGGTGCCATTGAGTCGATACCGACTCATAGCGACCTTATGCACAGCAGAACAAAACACTGCCCGGTCCTGGGTCAAACTCAGTATTGTTGCCATGCTTGAGCCCATTGATGCTGCCACTTTGCTGATCCATCTCACTGGGGGTCTTCCTCTTTTTCTCTGACCCTCCACCTTACCAAACATGATATCCTTCTCCAGGGACTGGTCCCTCCTGACAGTATATCCGAGGTATGAGAGACGAAGTTTGGCCATCCGGTTTTCCAAGGAGCACTCTGGCAGCACTTCTTCCCACACAGATCTGTTGGTTCTTTTGGCAGCCCACGGCACTCTCATTATTCTCCTCCAACACCATAACTCAGAAGCATCAATTCTTCTACGGTCTTCCTTATTCACTGTCCAGCTTTCTCATGCATATGAGGTTACTGAAAATACCATGGCGTGGGTCAGGAGCATCTTAGTCCTCAAGCTGACATCTTTGCTCTTCAACACTTTAAAAAGGTCTTGTGCAACAGATTTGCCTAATGCAGTATGTCATTTGATTTCCTGACTGCTGCTTCCATGAGTGTTGATAGTTGATCCAAGAAGAATGAAGTCCTTGACAACTTCTATCTTTTCTCCACTGATAAGAATATAACCCTGTTGCACACCTTTCTTAATTTGAAACCATTCAGCATTCCCATGTTGCGTTCGAACAACTGCCTCTTGGTCAATGTACAGATTCCTCATGAGCACTATTAAGTGTTCAGGAATACTCATACTTTGCAAAATTGTCCATAGCTTGTCATGATCTACACAATTGAAAGCCATCGCGTAGTCAATAAAGCACAGTTAAACATCTTTCTGATATTCTCTGCTTTCAGCCAAGATTCATTGGACATCGCCAACAATATCCCTCATCTCTCATACTTCGGACATATTGTCAGGAAGGACCAGTCACTGGAGATGGATATCATGTTTGGTAAGGTGGAGGGTCAAAGAAAAAGAGGAAGACCCCCTGCGAGATGCAAAGTGGCAGCATCCTTGGATGGCCCTGGATCGGCAGTGTTTTGTTCTGTTGTGCATATGGTCCCTATGAGTTGTAACTGACTCAATGGCACCTAACAACAATAAGGCAACTTAGACATTTCAGAGCTGAACAGTCAAAACCTTAGACAAATTGTTGTTGTTGTGTCCCGGGGAGTCAGTTCCAACTCATAGCGACCCTGTACAGGGTTTCTGAGACTGTAAATCTTTACGGGAGCAGAAAGCCTCATTTTCATCCCGCAGAACAGCTGGCAGTTTTGAACTGCTGACCCTGAGGTTCGCAGACCAATTCGTAACCACTACGCTACCAGAGCTCACCTAGAAGTACATTAAAGCACAATATGAAAGACCAAATCTTAGAAAACCCTATAAAATTTATATGGTTTTATTATAGTCCTTTCACTTGTGTTTTAT